GAATCGCCATTTAAAAGCTCTGAAACGCAGTCATTGTTCCACCAGTGCTTCTCTCTGTTGTTGTTTAGAAAAAAGAGTGGCAGCTGACCCCACTCAAACAGTGGGGTCAGCTTCTGTTATCCCTATAATACCAAATGTGTCATATTTGATTCATACGGTTTCTGAAGTCTTTTGGATCTGAGACTTTTTGCATCATTCAGTGGTAAAAGCTTTGCTCAAACCCCTGTTGTACACATTCAGATATACCTGATAACAGCCAGTAGAAAACTACACCAACATATAGTTTTCACTTATTGCACGCTAATTTTATCAAAACGATTTCTGTTTCTTTTTTCCTTCACATGTTGTTGAGGGGCCAAAGAAAGACTTCAGACTAAATAAATCCAATATTCTTCCTATTTTTCTTGGATCAGGCTTTAAAGGGTTGAAGCTCCTTTCCTGTTTCAAGGTCTAAGAGAAGTCCTCCTCATATTTTGTCTAATTATTGAGGATTGTTTAATACAGATGCAGAATGAAGGGCAGACTTTACATCTCATTTCAGACTCAGACTGGTGTAAAATGTACTATGATTTGTTTTACTTTGATATGTTGCATGGCACGTGCTGGTTGCTCTCACTTCATATTTTGGCACGCTAATTTGATCAAAAATAATTTCTTGTTTTCTTTTCTTCATATGTTGTTGAGGGGCCAAAGAAAGACTTCAGACTTTAAAAAATCCAATATTCTTCCTATTTTTCTTGGATCAGGCTTTAAAGAGTTAAAGGTCCTTTCCTCTTTCAAGGTCTAAGATAAGTCCTCCTCATATTTTGTCTAATTATTGAGGATTGTTTAATACAGATGCAGAATGAAGGGCAGACTTTTCGTCTCATTTCAGACTCAGACTGGTGTAAAATGTACAATGATTTGTTTTACTTTGATATGTTGCATGGCACGTGCTGGTTGCTCTCACTTCATATTTTGGCACGCTAATTTGATCAAAATAATTTCTTGTTTTCTTTTCTTCATATGTTGTTGAGGGGCCAAAGAAAGACTTCAGACTAAAGACATCCAATATCCTTCCTATCTTTCTTGGATCAGGCTTTAAAGGGTTAAAGGTCCACAGGTCAAGACTCAAACAGTGGGGTCAGCTTCTGTTAACCCTATAATGCCAAATGTGTCATATTTGATACATACGGTTTCTGAAGTCTTTTGGATCTGAGACTTTTTGCATCATTCAGTGGTAAAAGCTTTGCTCAAACCCCTGTTGTACACATTCAGATATACCTGATAACAGCCAGTAGAAGACTACACCAAAATAAATTTGTGACTTATTGCACGCTAATTTGATCAAAATAATTTCTTTTTTTTTGCAGGTTTGCCCACTTACAAAGAATGCTTATTTTTCCTCATCAGATGGTTATCAATTTTTATAAATTCACATAATGTGATTTTCTGGAATTTTCTTTGGGATTCTGTCTCTCACTGTTAGAATGTACATATGATTAAAGTTATAGATCGTTGCATTCTTTGTAAGTGGGCAAACCTGCAAAATCAGCAAGGGGTCAAATACTTATTTCCCCCACTGTATATATTTCCTAACCAAAGCTTTCTGAGCCTTGTCGATGCTTTTCTTTTTACTGGCATGACGAGAACAGACGCTTCATTCTGGTGATCATCTAAATGTGAAACAGAGAAATACCTCTGTAAATACCTCAGACTTCAGACTAAAAAAAATCCAATATTCTTCCTATCTATCTTGGATCAGGCTTTAAAGGGTCTCTCACCAGATGGCTAGGCGGTCCTTGGGGTAGTCCAGCCTCTCGATGCAGCCCAGGTAGTGATGCAGGCTGTGCGCCGCGTTCCGGGCCACCACGGCCACCAGCACCTTGGCCCGCAGCAGCGGGGACTCCGGGTCCTTCCCCGGGTCCCGGTCCGGGTCCGGGTCCGGTAACTGCGCGCGCAGGTCCGGGTCCAGCGCGCGCACGTGCGCGCACAGCAGCGCGCACAGCACCGCGACAGCCCGCATCTTCCTGCTTCCACCAGAGAAAAGAGCCGAGAAAAGAAAAGAAAAGAAAAGAAAAGGGTCCGGACCTGATCCCGGAGTCCTGCAGACTGAGAGAGAGGAGGGAGGAGAGAGAGAGAGGGAGGGAGAGAGAGAGGGAGGGAGAGAGAGAGAGGGAGGGAGAGAGAGAGAG